TTAGCTGTTGGTTCACTTAGACTGCTATACATAGCAGCTAACATGAACTGTAGTGTGTTAATTAGGATATGTTTTCATATCTGTAGCATATGGTACTATACCAAATCCACTTTTGAAGCACGATTGGGACAACAATGTCTTTAATCCGGTGATTGATACATTCTGCATACTGTCTCTAAGGAGCAGATCATTCGCATACACTAGCGATTACAGATAATTACGATATGGATCCTAGATCTTCTTTGCCTAGGAATAATAAATTCGACTATGTGCAGAAGTTAGCATTCCTTGATAGTACTACTGTGCACTGGAGGGCGCAGTGTATGAGCTAAATATCAGTAGGGCATAGTACAGAGGGACGAGGCGTCAGCTAGAGTTCGTAAGGATATATAATAACACGAAAAAAAGTTATTGGTGCAGCATATTATTTTTGGTTCATTATCAATGGTTCATGACCAGTGTTACCTGAAGGCAAACATCATATATATGCATATATGTGCAGATGTCACATGACTTGGAAACTGGACACACTGACATCAGTTTGCTAGTGGCTTGACAATGTCAATGTCTGGCTTGTCCACTTCGATATGGCTTCATTGTTATAATTATTAATTATTGAATAGGATTCAGATAAAACTGTTGTACATGATTGGCAGTGGCTACGGGTACGGCAGCCGTATCTTAATGTCTCGAGGCTACGGGTACGGCAGTCACACTACGTATTCGCTGCAGCCGTATCTTAATGTCTCGAGGCTACGGGTACGGCAGTCCATTCGCTTTCAGTTTCATACTTAACTTAACGAGACAAAGATGGCGGCAGTGGCGCCAGATTTCGAAATAACGCCTTGGGAAATAAATTCCCGATTTGAGAGTTTAGATGAGCTAGAACCCTAACCCTAACCCTAACGCCAAAATGGGGCTTCAAAGAACGACGGCTGCCGTACCTCCAGCCGCTGCGTACATGATTACCTAAACTAAACATGCACGCCAACAGCCATGCAATTGTGATTGAGATGGCCCAGAATCAGTAACCATAACAATTGACAGAAATACGCCTTCACTACAAATACAAATTACAAATATTAGTACTAGTACTTATGATTACTGGAAGGACAAAGACTAATTTAATTATTCACTATTTCAGTTTTCATACGTATAATGTATTTTCATCCCACTAAATCAATTGGCAATTTAGACAGTAACCCGAAGTGGGACGGCATATTAACCCAACACTTCAAGGTTTAACCGGATGTAAAACTAAAAGATGAATCATGAAGACTGAAGAGCCAACAGAGACTGCCAGAGGTTGATCAAAATCAAAATACAAATGTGACAAAAATTCAACAACAGCAGCAATGACATTCGTACAAAACCTTCTTGCGGGAGCTATACAACCTAGATGTTCATCTTAACATAAACCCAAACAATATATATCTAATACAACCTATTAAATATAAGATATTCCAGACTAACCTTAAAACGTAATATCAAGGAAAACGATCGACGCAACGAAGGGGACCGGTTCACAAAATCGGAGCCCTTGTTACCAGGTTTACGTAAAGGGTTACGTTTGGGTACGTCATAAACGATCACGCTGCGCCACCTAGCGAGGAATTTGGTTACATAGTTACGCTCAAGGGGTCGTTGTCGTATCAGGTACAACCACTGAGCTCTATAATATAATATTTATATAATCATATAATTATATTATAGAGATCAGTGGGTACAACAGATATGTACCCGAGGTACATATAATATGTATACACAAAGTGTACCAGGCTTACATGTACATACATAATAATACATATATGTATATATAATATAATCTGTGCATATATGTGTGGATATATCTAATCAGGAGTGAATTATAGAGATTATATGAATTAATGAGATAATAGCGCTAGAGATGCTGTACGTCTCTATTATTCACTCCTGATCTAATATAGGCCTACCTATACATGTAGATATGTGTATATCTAATGCCACGCGGATGTCATGAAAAGCGCACGAGACAGAGAGAGAGAGAGAGAAAGAGAGAGGACATAACGAGAAACGGAGGGGAGGGAAAAAGAAAGAAAGAGAGGAGGCGGAGGGAGAAGGAGCGAGAGAGAAAGAGCGAGCAAAAGAGAGAAAGAGAGCGAGCAAGAGAGAGAAAGAGAGAGAGAGAGAGAGAGAGAG